CCGGAAGACCCACACCAGCCATCGTATGCCGGCTGTGAAAGCCTTCGACAATACATTGCAAATATTTTATTTGCTGTGCCTCCATTCTGTGTCATGGCTCTGCGTTTCAGCTACCTCAAACTATAGGCAAACTAATACTGGTTATCCTATTTGCCTTGTTCTAGCTCCCTCCAAAAGGCAACTGTTGAGGTGATCTTGAGATAACTGCAAGGCCTCTAGGCAGTTTTAGAAGTGACTGCTCAAGTCAGCAACTAGAACACTCAGCCCAGGTATTATTTCACACTGCCCCAGCCCAGGCTGGCTATGAGGAATTAGGAGAATTGAAGTACTACGTGCCTAGAGAGACCCTCTTAGCAGGATGGCACCTTTACCCTGTCATATCTTTTCTTTGATGTCACTTTCACCTTTCCTCTATCGCTGTTAGGGAAAATTGCCTATCTATAGTAAGAAAATTCTAGCATTGGAAAGGAACTTGAAAACCATGTGTCCAGCTCCAAACAGCAATTCCATTGCAAATTAATGAAGAGACACTATGAAGAACAAGTACAGGTATAAAAAGCAAGCTGAAAAGCAAATGCAGAATAGAAAGTCAGACCTGAACAAGAGGAATCTGGATTTAAATCCTGCTGCTTGGAGGTGAGACAAATATATGTGCTTATTAAGAGTGCAGCCTATCGACTAGATATCCCACTTTTCCTTCTAGAGACCACAAACATTGAACCTCAGTTTTCCTGGTTCATATCCAATATTTTCCAGCTCCCCTCAAACTGTTCTTATATTTAAAGCAAGATTAACAAACACAATCCTGCTCTTTCTCTCAGATCCCAACAAGGAAGAAAGATGAGAAAAGGACATCTGTTCCCAAAATAAAGCAGGATAACTTTTAAGCATGCCACCTTGGGTGGAATACCATTTTGGTAAATAAAAATATATAGGTATCGATTTTTAACTGGGTCATTCCAAGAATAGCTTATTAGTTTTATTCTATGTTCCCCAACCTTATGCCCAGAATTCCATCAGGTTGGGAAAAGCTGGTATAGAAGAAAAGATGAAACATTTTCTTGCCTCAAGAGACAATGCAAATATTTTCAGACAGGTTTCTGCTAGATTTGGAATTCTGGATGCAGCGTGACTGAGGTTTGCTAGGTAAAATCCAGGATTTTCTGCCTTTCTGAACAAATCTTTCAATCTCCTACTAAGACACTGTTTGTTGTGTATCACGGTACTCAAAAAGAGGCTTGGACTTATGGCTGCTTTGTATTTTACACTGCAACAGGACCTGCAGTGCAATGCGAAGCACAAACTAATTGAAAAAAGAGCAAGAACTCCTAGATCCAAGACTTACATCCTTTTAGGCAAGGATTGCTGCTGTTATATGCCAAGAAGGACGTATGAAATACTGTGGAGATGAATGCCTGCCAAGGCCTTAAATAAATCTTAGCCATTTCCTATTTTATATCAGTCCCCTACTTCTTAACGCATTAGTTCAGATATATCAGATAAATCCTAGTTTATCAGGAGCTGACTTAAATTAAGTTATATCTCTTGCCCAGGATAATCTATTGTGATGGCCAGTGGCTCCCCAGAGTTTCAGGCAAATGTCTGAAAAGGTGCTGAGAAAGGTACAAATGATGCCAGAGGAGGTGCAAAAAAGGGAAATCAGAAGATTGCAGCAATTGGGGCTTTTGAACTCAAGGTGAACAAAGGGGAGGAGAGGCTGATAGAGGCTGGTATGGAAAGAAATAGGTTTTTCCCCATCTCACAATGTACTCATCTGCTGAAATTACACATGGGGAGATTCAGGATTGAAAAGAAGAATGCCTTACATGACAAACTGTGAAATTTGCTTCCATCAGATATTGTGATGGACCACCAACTTAGGCAGCTTCTAGTGGGAATCAGACAAAATTACAGAGAGGACTATCAATGGCTACTAGTTTTGATGACTCATTGTTACTTCCTTGATCACAGGTAGCGAACAGGTAACTAGTATCTTAAATATCAGCTGCTAGGAAGCAACAGTGGAAAACAATAGAAAAGGAAAAGGAAAAAATCTTGTGAACATTTATGAGCTTTCTGAATGCATCTGGTTACCTGTTTATGACACAAAACACTGAGCTTGATGGGATCTTGCTTGATCCAGCAAGGCTCTTTTTATGTATGTGTTCCTATATTCATGCTCCTTTGAGTTTTTTCTTTTTTTTAAACTAAAGATGTCAGGGACAGAACTTCCATGCAAAACATGGGATCTTCCCTTTGGCCAGTCTCTCCCATTGTACATCATCTATTCAACTCTATTTTACTCTCATCTGGAGACAGAGGGTAGAAGGTCCCTAACTCACTATGTTCCTCTTGTTTATATCTCAGGGGGATGGGGAAGGAAAATAAGAAATTCTTTCTCCATAGCATATCTAACCGCCTCCCTCTTTTTTAGACATATGATTAGTACGTAAGTTTTATCTTGGTTGATGTTACCTGGCTCTTATGGGCTGTGATCCGAGTCGAGGTCCCAGAGCATTCCCATTCCCAGGAGAGTTCTTCCGAGCTAATGCAGGTGAGATGGAAGTAGTTCGTTGAGGCACCTGTGAGAAAAACCAAATTGTGCTGGCCACTGAAGCTGTGCTGCCAGACTGTGTACCAGCATATTAGGAATAATGACTACCAGGTTTGGGAAAATTTGGCAGTAAAATCTGCTTTAATTTCTTCTTGAAAAATAGAAATATTCTTTTCAGTGAAGCAACTGTAAATTGCACTTGGTGTTTTCAAAGCACCTTACTTGTTAAGAGAGAAAAGATCTTACTTGAAATGTATTCATTTTAATTCCACAGGACAATTTATTTGTCACAAAGCAAGGCTTGGTGAGCATTATTTTAAATAGCTACATTTGCAGAAAGTCATGTAGGACTGTTGGGAACTACAAATCCCAAGATTTTTGGAGGAATGTCCTAATGTGTCCCATGGAAACAGAGAGAAAATGGATTTTTCATGAGAGGCAAGGTACTTTCTCTGAGAGCCTGAGGTGGCTTACATAGGGGTCTTTCTCTTCTTTTATTCCTACAACAAGAACTCTGTGAAGTGGGTTGGGCTGAGAGACTGCAAGTGGTCCAAAGTCACCCAGTGAGCTTCCATGGTTTAGTGGGGACTAGAATCTGGGTCTTCTGGCTCCAGGTCCAAGACTTATTACACTACAATGACACTAACGATGAAAGTATTTTGTTATTATAATGCTGCCATGGAACTACAGAGTAGAAGAGAAGCACACTGTTGATTTTGCTGTCAGCCAGGAGACTAAAATTCTAGCAGTGGCTAATCCAGGACTAAGCCATACAAAAATTCAGTGGAACATTAGCATGATAGGTCATACAAATATGGTAATAATAAGTAATGCAGAAATAAGAATATCAAGAATTTACTGCACTATGTATGCAGTTGCTATGTAATACAGAAGCTGTGGATCAAATTCCACTCTGAACTGTTGATGAGATAACAAAAGTCATATGAAATTGCATGATTTTAAGCCAGATAATTGGTTCATCTAGCTCAGTACTGTCTATCACCAGTGTGGGGTAGTTGGCCTTCCAAATATTGTTGGACCTCAGGTCTCAACAGTACTGCCAGCATGGTCATGGGTGATGGGAATTGTAGTTCACCATCAGTTGGATGAAAGTTTTTTGCTGCCACTGAGTGGCACCATTCCTCATTTTCAGTCACAGTTTTCTTCCCATGCCTACTAGAAATGCCAAGGACTGAATCTGGGATCTTCTACCACTGAAATACAGCTCTATTCCAAAGCAAGCCATAAAGTAGCTTGTTTAGCAATGGCCTTGTTCAAAGAGGAAAAAATATTGTGGGTATACATATACTTGTTAATTATTTGCCCAAATGTTTATGGAAGGCAGATTTGACTATACTGATAATACAGCACTCAGTTTACTGCACTCAGTTTTTTAATTATGCACAGATGTTTAGGTGATGGTTTGGAGTCTCAAACAACGAATTATTTCTGAACTGGTCTGAATAAGGAATGAAGATAACAGCATTCCACATATACAGCTATTTTAAATGTGATAAAATAGAACACAGTTCTGTGTAGTGAATGTTGTATAATAGACATGTACCCTAACTGCAACTGTGTATTTTGCTGCTGAATTGATATGTATTGAAATAGTATCATCGTCATGGAAAAATCTTATTATTAGTGGTGGTAGTGATAGTGGAATGATAATATTTTTATAATCCTTCTCATTACAGAAAATCTTGAAGCAATTTACCATAATCATATAATCATTGTAGGAAAAAAATAAAAATGGAGTAAAAAACACAGCAAAAAATATTCCTTAAATAGAAATGTTAGGCAGAGTTAGTGGATAAGGATGGCCAATGTAAAAAGGTGTTTTTTAAAGAGACGTGAGAAACGTGTCATTGTTGGGGCCTGGTGTAACATAGAAGGGAGGGTGCACCACAGCTCAGGTGCCACAAAAGAGAGACCCCTCTGTGCCACCATCAAGTAGATTATAGGGCATTTTCTAGTGCTTCCAACATGTGGGTATTTTCTAGTGCTTCCATTATAGGGCATTTTCTAGTGCTTCTAACATGTTAAATACAACCACTTTGCACTTGAAACGGAACATTTCATGGACAATGTCATACACAGAAGATTTCAAAATGAAATCTTTTGCACACTCTTAATAGATGAAAGCTTTTTAAATAACCTGGTCCTAACTGCATATTATTTTCTTCAAAAAGAAAAGAGTGCTTTATAACTATTTGCTGTTTGCCTCCTTATCTCAAGTGAATGCTCTATTTTCAATGTTAATCTCTGAGGGATTAAAATTTTGTTGATTTCACAACACAAGCAATTTAATGCATAACCCGTAGGCCTTAGAACCCTTTAGAACCCTTAACCTGGTTCTAAAATGCAGCTAACCAATCTCTAAGGAGGTCCGAGGTCTCTCCATTGTCTTATTGAATCAGCCAATTACCTAATCATGAAGACGATCCTGAATTTAAGATGATTTCCTTCCCTTAAGATTAGACACAAAAACATTGCTTGTTTTCTTCACCATTATTCTTGATTAATCTAAGGTGACCTTCCTATTTTGAAAAGAAATTATCTGGGGGAAAATCCCTAATCTTTTTTGGTAAATACAGTGTAAATTATTCACAACACCAGTGCAATTGTTTCTCAGGAAAAAAATGTAGGGGACATCTCTGCATTTAATTGTGCAATTCAAGGTTCAGCACAAGAGAAACTATTTTTTTTATAAGAGCCATAAAGAAAACAAAGCAGCATCAACAACAGCTTCTGCATTAGTAGTTTGGAAAAGACCCTTAGATTACAGTGCAGGAGTCACTTACCTAGGAGAAAGTCCCACTGATCTCAGTGGGATTTAATTCTGAGTAGATGCATATGGAACTGCATTAATTAAAGAGCTACTGCTGCCATCGTATCCTTAAAGCATGAAGCTTCTGGAGCCCTTATACAATGTTCTATCCAATATTGATTATATCTGGAGGCATGATGTCAGCCTGGAAAGCTTACAGGTTTGATCCAGTATGGCAAGTTTTATGCTTACTGCAGATTTTTTTTAATGCAAAGCTGGGAGTGGAGGTAAGGGAAGCCAAAAGACAGACATACTGCATCCCCTGCAACATTATTTTACAGCCTTTCAGATTATATGCCAGCTAACATAGCTTAGTGATCTCATACATTTTTTTTTTTTAACTGCTTGATGCTGTAACCTGGAACTCCATAGCCAAAATGATGCTGGGGTCTGCTGCAAGGATTTGCGCTCAGACCAAGTCCTTATTCCTGCCTCAGAATCCATGTCGCAATTATTGGTTTCAGTGCCTGCTTCTTGCCTGGGCTGGTATATTCCACAACACAGTCCAAGCCCCCAGTGTAACTCATCTCTAGGGATCATTTGATTAAAGACAGAGCAGGAAATCTAGCCAAATGTCCCCATTTTTCATAGAGGTGAGAGAACAACTTGCACTAGAACCCATATGAGGATGTGCTGTCTCTCTACAGCTAGTACATCTGCCTAGCTTTGAATATTTTGTGCAAAATGTTATAGGCCCTTAGTTCCTGTGGGAATGAAGACCTGTCCAGAACAATTTAGCGTTCAGATTGGGAGGGCACGGGGCGAGAAACTTTGTGTTAGCTTCCTTGTGTGTTTTCAGAAAGCCATGGCTACCATGAGAGGAGGTCAAGGTGGTGCCTGCAGATTGAAAACTTTATTGCTTCTGCCATTATAATTTAAAAACTGGGTTAATACAAATCTCTCAGTGGAAGCCTATAGCTACCAATGGATTTCTTTAACTATGCAGTGGACTCATGCCAAGAAGCTATGGAAAATCAAGGAATATAGTACTCGGTCTTATCCCAGGTCATTGTGTTTATCTTCAAATCTGAGATCACAAGGTTGTACATAACCGTAAAATATCTAGAGCGTGCCATTCTGTGACTTGACAAAAGAAGATACAGGTCCTTGGTTAACAACCACTCGTTTAACAACAGTTCAAAATTACGACGGCCTTGGAAAGGGTGCTTTAAGGCCTGTAAAGCACTTCCGGCTATTGTAAAATGTTGTGCCACCCCCCGTGGTCACATGGCCGCATTTCGGGTGCTTGGCAACCAGCTTGCATTTACGACCAGTTGCCAAGCACCCCATGATCATGTGATCGCCATCTGCAATCTTCTCTGCTGGCTTCCCCATTGGAAGCTGGCAGGGAAGTTTGCAAGCAGAGGGAACGAGGCAGTGGGTAGTTACAGAGCTCACATCTTCAGAAATGAGGTCCCTGCCTTTGCACCGCTGTGAGGTTTCCCCTCTCCACTCAGCAGTGCAAAGTTGTGGACCTCAAATCTTCAGGATTTGAGGTCCATAACTGCCCAGTGCTGGGAGGTTTCCCCTCCTCCCCAGTGCTGGGCAGTTACGGACCTCAAATCTTCAGATGTTCTGTTCACCGTTGAGAGAGGGGAGGGGAAAGAGGATGGCGTGAAAGAGCTTGTCTGCTGAAGGATTTCAGCTGTGTGTGGAGCTGAAATCCTTCAGCAGACAGTTCTGTCCACCTAATGACCTGGGAGATCGCTTAATGACCCCAACTGGGAGTGCCTGGATTGCAGTTGTTGAGCAAAGCAGACATGTGGGCATTTTGCTTAATGACCACTTCGCTCAATGATCAAGATTCTGGTCTCAGTTGTGCTTGTTAGGCAAAAACTACCTGTAATTATTAAATGCAATATAAAGTAGATAGATTCTGCATTGACTCTAATTATAATTACACTGAAACTGAGAAGCAGTGAAGTTTTCATCTGGTCCCACCCACTACATTTTGGAAAGCGGCCCTGATTTTAGTGTCTTTCAGCGGTCACTAAAAAATGGAGGGTGCTTCTCAGCCCCAAAAAAGGGATGCACCATTGATGCAGCTCCATGGCATTTGCTCTTTTGGTAGCAACTCTGGGGCAAACCCCTTCCATTCTTATTTGCCTCCTCATTTTTTAAACAGGATTTACTATGCTTTTGTCTTCATCAGTCTATATTTTACTGTAAATTATTAAGAATCTTTGGATTTTGTCAGTATATAAATGCAATGAATGAATGAATAAATAGAGTGCTGCTGGTCTACCAGATCTGGATTGAAAAAAAAGCAAAAGCAAAACCAGACAACCACTTCAAGGTAGCAAAAATATAGTTTCTGTATCTCTTTGCTGCCATCTAGCAGGCATTTGGGTTCTGGCAGCTCCAACTGGCAGTTTTACTGGAGACTGAACCTGGTACCTTCTGTGGTCTTTCACAGAGCTACAGTTACTGACTTCAAGGGAATTCGAAGCATGTCCTCAAGTGTTAATGTATCTGACCATTCAAATGCAGGAGACACCAGTGCCATGCTGGTAAAGAGTCCCTAACGCTGCCTGAGAGGTTTGCAGTACCACCGCAAATGTTTAAGCTATTTCCTGTTCCGAATTTTGCAAGTTAGCATGATCCTTTTTTAAATTTATTTTTACCTTTGGTGGAATGTCTTCTTCCTGTCGTAACCAAGAACTTCGATCAAACTTTTCAACACGAGGGGGGAGAGGAGGCTTTTCGGAAGTGGGGTCCGAGTTCTGCCTTGGCATCTCAGTGCGGTGAGAGGTCACCGTTAGAGCTTCCTGAAACCCAGCCATTCCCTTTGTGGGTTGTTCATGCAGTGACTGAGAGGCAGGCAAGGAAGGTCCTTGGGATTTCACACTGACCAGATGTGGAATCTACGCACCAAGTTAAAACAAAACCATCAGTATAAATTGGAAAAAAGTTATTAAAAAGAAATAGTAATGAAGCATGTTTTTTTTAAAAAAAATATTTGTTTCCCCAATTTTATTTTAGTTTTGTTTTTTCAATGAATTCGATTTAAAAAAAAATAAGATTCAGATCTTAAAATAGTAAGTGGATGAAGGTCAGGAAATGCCAAAGATGAGATTCCTTATTTGGCCTGAATTCTATTCCTCTAAGAATGTCCATTAGAACATAGTTTTTAGTTATATGATAATGTGTTATTTATGAAATGATATAAGAAAGTTATATATGAAATGTTTGTTTTGTTTGGCAGGTCTAGTATATCCAAAAACAAAGGAAACTTGGTTTTCCATAGATTATTGTTACTTCCACCAATTGGCTTGGTATGGCAGATCCTTGGGGCCCAGCTTCTTTATTTTAAAGAACGTTTCAAAAGAGGAGTGGCTGTTTTCAGGAGTTTCAGGTTCTGATGAGTTGTCAAAAAGTGTATTTACACTTTCTGCATTTACACTACTATAAAATTATAATGATTAGGAATCATGTATAGAGATTCATCTGCAAGGCTGGTGGCTCCTCATTTTGGTTGCACTGAGTTGCCAAAAGAGAAACGGGGAAAAAAAACTTTGTAATTGGTTTATCAGCTGCAAGAGAAAAATAAATAAAAGACTTGGTATTTGTAATGATTAGGAATCATGTATAGAGATTCATCTGCAAGGCTGGTGGCTCCTCATTTTGGTTGCACTGAGTTGCCAAAAGAGAAACGGGGAAAAAAAACTTTGTAATTGGTTTATCAGCTGCAAGAGAAAAATAAATAAAAGACTTGGTATTTGACTGAAATAAGATTTGTTTGTTTGGAAATAAAGACTGTGAGTCTAAGTATAATTTGGACAGACACAGGCCATGTTCATACCCTGTACTAAGCCC